TAGATTTTTCACCTCCTTGTCTATAGTTTGGGCCCTTTCAGTAGAGGCGCCCTTTAGCTTTTGGCAAACAGGCTTGTGGCATGGGTCAACATTAAGACGGTTTGTGGGCACTTTTGGATCGATGCCTTCAAGGTCTGCATGTGACCATGCAAAGATGTCCATGTTTCGTCTCAAAAAGTCTATTAGCGGGCTAACCAGATATTTAGAAAGGGAAGAGCCAATATATACTCTTTTGTCCGGGTGCTCTTTATCCAAGACCATTGGGGTGAGCTCCTCGACTGGTTCTCCTCTTTCTATGGTGGAGTCATCCCTTGGATCAAGGACCTCAACTTGCAACGCCTCTTGTGGCTTCCTAGTCTTCATAGAGGAGACATAACATTCCCTTCTTGCTACCTGGTCTCCTCTGACCTCTCTGACTCCATTTGGGGTTGGAAAGCGGAGGATGAGATGATAGGTAAAGTGCACAGCTCTTAATGTGTTAAGAGCAGGTCGTTCCAGTATGATGTCGTAGGCTGATGGGCAGTCTATCACCAAGAAATTGACCATAACTGTGGAGCTTCGGGGTGCTACTTCGATTGTGACAGGTAGGGTGATGGACCCTAAGGGATACACCTTCTCTTCTAAGAACCCAATGAGGGGTGATCTGATAGGTTGTAGTCTCTCACTGCCCAGGTTGAGCTTGTCATAAGCCTCTACGAATAGGATATCCGCAGAGCTGCCGCTATCCACCAGGATCCTCTGTACCTGAAAATTAGTCACGGTCATAGTGAGCACTAGAGGGTTATCATGAGAGTGTTAAATTCCTTCTAAGTCCTTATCTGAGAAAGATATGACCTTGTTGTCATNGCTATCCACCAGGATCCTCTGTACCTGAAAATTAGCCACGGTCATGGTGAACACTAGAGGGTTATCATGAGAGTGTTAAATTCCTTCTAAGTCCTTATCTGAGAAAGATATGACCTTGTTGTCATCTTGCTTTGATGCCTTGGATGTGCGCAACACATCGAAGTGCCTTGCCTTTCTGGCGTGGGCCTTCATTGCAAAGAGTGATTCTCCACCTCCTGCTAGTCCTCCCAAGATGGTGTGGATCTCCCCAATGGGCTGCTGATCTTTTTGATTGTGAGGTAGTGGTGTTCGTTCCCTACTAGCAACATACTAGTGTAAATGACCGCGCTGGATGAGTTCCTGAATTTGTCTTTTGAGGTCATAACAATCATCGGTGTCATGCTTGTGGTCGCGGTGAAAGTGGCAATATTTATTAGGATTTCTACGATTTGGAAGAGACTTCATCTTCCCTGGCCACTTTATCGCAAGGTCATCATGGATCTGGAATAGAATGTGCCCGACAACGACATTGAGGGGAGTGAAGGCTTGATGGTCCCTCTGAGGAGCAGGACCAAGTCGGTATTTGACGAGAACCCTCTTTGTTCTGCTACGCTTGTTGCTAGTCTCCTTCTTGTCTTTCCTATCTCTATCCTTCCTNGCGACATTGAGGGGAGTGAAGGCTTGATGGTCCCTCTGAGGAGCAGGACCAAGTCGGTATTTGACGAGAACCCTCTCTGTTCTGCTACGCTTGTTGCTAGTCTCCTTCTTGTCTTTCCTATCTCTATCCTTCCTCTTTTCCCCTGCTCTGGAGGACTCACCTCTCCTAACCCTTGTGATGTCCTCAGCATTCATATATTTTTGGGCCTTTGCTAGTAGCTCCGGCATGCTCTTTGGTTGGCGTTTCATCACTAAGAAGAGGAAACTTGACAAGTGGAAGCCTCCCAAGAAAGCAGTCATAGTTACTTTGTCTGGGACGTTGTGCAGCTGCATCAGGATTTTATAGGTGTCGAGGTGGTCTAGTGGATCTTTCGTTCCATCAAAAGTCTCTACGGACGACATTTTAAACTTTTGAGGGAGGGGGTAGTTTGCCACGTCAGGTTTGAAAGGGGTGTCTGTTCGCCTTACCAGGTAGTCCACTGTCTCGGGTCCCTGCGCTTTCATGCCATTGAAGACGNTTTCGTTCCATCAAAAGTCTCTACGGACGACATTTTAAACTTTTGAGGGAGGGGGTAGTTTGCCACGTCAGGTTTGAAAGGCGTGTCTGTCCGCCTTACCAGGTAGTCCACTGTCTCGGGTCCCTGCGCTTTCATGCCATTGAAGACGTCGCCCAGTTGATTTTGCACTTCCTTGATTTTCTCGTCCCAATGATTAGGGATGGGAAGCAGCAGCAACAACAGGAGGTGGTGGTGGAAATCCCTCATGATGGGCTCCCCTGTGTGGGGCGCCAAGGGGACTCCAAAGGGGGCACCCAGCCCTACATGTGCATCTAGGTGTGGAGCTCCTTGAGGTCCTCCAAGCTGTGCTCTTCCAAGTTGTGCTCCTCCTTTTTTGGCTAGCATGAGTTGTAGTATCTGTTGGTTTTAGGCCACCAGCAGCTGCATGATTTCCAACATTTGGTGTGGATTTGGAGCTAGAACATTTGGGACAAGGTTGGTAGGTGCAGGAACAATCTCCTCCTTTCGTGGAAGATTGTCTTCAGATTGGTTCATGGATCTGATGGNTTGGCTAGCATGAGTTGTAGTATCTGTTGGTTTTAGGCCACCAGCTGCTGCATGATTTCCAACATTTGGTGTGGATTTGGAGCTAGAACATTTGGGACAAGGTTGGTAGGTGCAGGAACAATCTCCTCCTTTCGTGGAAGATTGTCTTCAGATTGGTTCATGGATCTGATGGTGATCGTCATTGGTTCAACAGAGAGAATGATTAAAAATGAGAATTTGGTCTTTCCCACAGACGGCGCCAAACTGATGATGCACAAAATAGCTTTGCACACCACCTGTTGAGTGTGAGTAATGAATGCAGTAATTAATCAGTAAAAAGAGAAGACAAGAATTATAGTAGTTCGGTTAGTGTGACCTACGTTCACTCTTGAATGGTTTCGATCACCGTGTACTTTTATTAACTCAAGGGTGTAGAGAGCAGAAAATACAAGTTTGGAGGAAGAGGAGAGAGTCGTGCTTAGGTAAAAGTGTGATGATGTCCCCCGAGTGTTGGTAGGGCGTACAATTTACAGTGGCCCCCTAACGGGTTAAGGCTATTTTACAACAACTAAGCAACTATTTTGGTGGAGCTCACAACTTCCTCTCAACGAGCGAGGTGGTTGAAGCGTTCTCTATGAAATGCGGTCAAGGATGAGCTAAGGGTAGACTGTTTCCTCGATAGTGTAGGTAAGGTTCCCGTGCTCTCTCTTAATGACGTAGTCAAGCTTATGATTTTGACTAGACTTTGACCATATTGGACTTGGTGGGTCTTTATAAGGTTGGGCTCTTTAATTGAGATTGAGCTTTTTACATAAATTGGACTATTTGGGTTTGACCCATCAAAGACTATAATTAATACTCGAATAAAAATAAAGATGATTTCTCCTAGAAAAAAGAAAGTTAAATGAAAGTCAATTGCATGAACTTTTACTTGCAAAATTCATAATTAATAAAATTAAGGTCATTTGGAGAAAACCTTAATAAAATAAAAAACTTGTCTCATTATTCTATTTGTCTTTACAACACTGCTTATTATTTATTATCTATATGACTACAAATATTATAGAAAAATCTAAAACTTCATACCATACTCAAAAGAAATTAAGAAGATATGAGACATCATAATCAACTGACAACTCAGTCAGTTATAAAATTGGATCAATACCAAATTTTAATAATTTGATATTTATCTCAAGTTTTAGGGGTCAATCCTAACTCAATTCCATTGAATCGTAACTCGATCTATTTGAGTCGCAACTTAATATGATTAAGTTGTAATTTTTTGTATGACACTCAAATTTCAATAATATTGACCAAATTTTATTTTTTTTTGTTTTTAGTGGTTTTAATTTTTTAATTCTTTTAGGTGGATGGTGGTGGGTTTAGCATTTCTGTCTTTAATTTTGGGTGGACAAAAGTAATATATTGTACAAACATATAATATATATGTCTTTAATTTTGGGTGGACAAAAGTAATATAGTGTACAAACATATAATATATATACCTAAGTAATAATTTTTTTTGTAAGGGCATGATACCACCACCTATCGGACTCAACGAGTAGTCTACGGATCTGCATCCCTACTCACCTGGTCCTTGCACATCGCTCTCTCCAAGAGGTTGACCGCCTATCATAGATATTTCCATTTCCAAAAAGATCTCAAGCTCAATTTGGTTTAGTATCAAGGAAATTATGTTTCCATTCTTACATATATATACAACAATTCCACAATATCATTGTAATCAATTAACGAGACTTGACTATAAAATGTTCTTATCTCTATCATTAACTCGAGTAGTACCAATTTATGATGTTTTAGTCACTTTTCAATGACTCCCTTAATTATATGCAAAGAATTACTCATTGAGTAATGAGAAGCAGGCTACTCCCCAAAAATGCCCCACCCACGGGTTCGTTTGTCGTGGGGGCCTTAGAGCTCAAAATCTTCCTTCAAGAACTACCAAAAATATATACAAATAATCGTTCTAAACATACCATAAACAGAAAAAAAATAAAAGCTACTGCATGATTGATGCCACATCTAAAAGTATGATGACTATGGGCAATCAACCACCTTAGACAAGCCACAGAAGGTTGATCATGCAAGTTTACATATCTCTAACATGAATGTGTCAAAATGATGATGATGATGGCCAAAATGATGACATCTACAATGCTGATCTCATGATCAAGTTCAAGTTTCTCCAGCATGCATGATATTATTTGCATTATAAGCTTACTATCTCCATAAATTATTCTACAAAGATAAGTCTACTGTAGTTGCTACAAGCACCAAAAAAGAAATGAAATTGAAAAACTCAATTGAATTGTTCATCTGCTGGTGTTCATCGCCCCTGCAGAGATTTTTAGAAAGGGTGGCAAAAGAGACCACTGGGGCTGAGAAATGAGACCCTCGAGGAGAATGGTTAAAGGTGAAGGATAGCCATGTATTAATGGGAACTTGGGTAGACAGCTAGACTTCGTTTTTTTGCTCTGAAGGGGAATGTATGGCCATAAATTTCGGGGATGGAAGCTTTTCCAAAATAGCTAAGACATCAGCCATAGGAGGCCGAGCTCTGGCATCAATGTTTACACAATGTAATGCAAGAGTGGCTGCCACATAAGCTCCTTTTCGAGGGTACTGGGCCTCCAACTTCGTGTCCATGATTCGGTATAACTTGCGCTTGTCACGCAACTGGGGCCTTACCCAATCGACCAGTTTCTGCTCTGCACTAACCCTAGTTTCATCAAAAGCACGGTGCCCTGTAAGCAGCTCCAACAACACAACTCCAAAGCTATAGACATCACACTTTGCAGTCAGCCGACCTGCTCAGAGGGAAACATAAATTGTGGCGGATGCTGGATACAAATGCTGTAACAGGACATTCTGACATTTCCAGACAAATATAACATATTAACATAATATGGCAAGATAAATGAAGAAGGGTAAAGGTGCCCTCTGTTTGTTAAGAAAACTGTGATTTAAGATGAGAATAAGTTGAATAACTATAAAGACCAATGGGTCTTTGGTCCAATGGTATTCTTTATCTTGTGAAGGTTTTGCCTTCTTGAGGTCAAGGGTTCAAACCCCTTCCTCTCTCCCCCCCCAAAAAAACTATAAAGCACAGATAGAGCTCTTGCAAAAAGAGATGTTGTAAGACTCATAACCACATTTTGCTCTTTACCAATCCAATAATCACATTCACTTCCATGATCTCATAACCCTACATAACCATCCAAAAATTGTAGATTTTAAACCAATGGCAGAAAAAAGAAAGACATTATCATAAAAGCCATATAGCCCACAGTTGCTAATGAAAGATATAAAAAACAAGCTTTAAAACTGAGGGCATTCAAAAAGCAGAAAAGGAAGAAAACATCAATTGCATGTTTAAGGTGTCGTTCTTGTTATTGTGGTTTTATGTTACTCCCATGGTTGTACCAAGTTATATCACAGAGTTAGGATATGAGTGCAAAAGAACATTTTCCTATGTGTAGCAGAGCATTATGTGAGGACCAACCCCAACAAAACAAAAAAAAGAGTCCTATAGGAACTTTCACCCTAAGCCATCCTTAGTCTACTACAAATGTCTTAGTCTACTACAAATGTCGTTGTATTTCTCTCTGCTTTTTAAATCAGGATCTGATAATGTATAAAAGAAATCATAGAGCCAAATGCAGCAAGATATGGTGAGTTTAGAGAAGCAAGCACCTGTAGGTGACTTTGCTGAAAGGATGGGTATTTTACCGGATACATATGTACTTGTATGACTGTAACTAAATCAACAACTCCCATGCAACTTTTTCAGAATTATTTATTTATTTATTTCTTCCTCTTTTTTTTTTTTTTTTTTTTGG